AGATTTTAAAGAGGTTGAAATATGAATATGTCCTTGAATAACGATACGAATGCCCAATTGTTGATTTAAATTTACAATAAATTACTTATTTTGTCTTTAATTTTTAAAACAATACTCACTATGATTTAAACATAAAGCTCTCTTTATTAGTAAAAACAGCAGCAACATTCCTTTTAACACTCCTACCCTAGGTCTAAAATACGCCAGTTTATTTATCCTGACAATACAGAATGCGTTGCTGATCCTCTCCATGAGATACTCTCGTATTCAAGTTGGTGAGATGTACATCAGCACCACTGCAGTAGTGTTATCAGAGACACTAAAGCTCTTTACGTGTGTAATCATATTATTTATATCTGAGAAGAAAGGGCTGATAGAGTTCACTGCTTATCTTTTTCAAAGTGTCGTTGTAAATTAGAGGGACACTTTGAAGCTCTCTGTGCCTGCTCTAGTCTACATGGTACAGAATAACCTCCAGTATATTGCTGTCTCCAATCTTGATCCTGCAGTATTTTAGGTACAATTATCATTGATTTGACGCATACATATTGATGTACTTCTGGTGTGTAGAAGGTTTGAGCTGATTCTGACAATAAATTTTAAAGTTATGGCCGTTTTAAAAAATGGGCCAAATTTTGAAAAATACTCAAGGCTATAGCCCAGTTGAAAAGGGAACAGAGCCCTCAAAAAATTTATTATGAAAAAGGGTAGAAATAAACATGTAGGTTAAGGAAAGGAATATAAGGAAGAAAACAAAGAACAGGTTAAAGATTGGTTAAGGTAAAGAAAGATACACAAAGTGATAAGGAAAGATAATAATAATAATAGTAATAATAATAATAATAATAATAATATTGATAATAATAATGATAATGATAATAATAATAATAGAATAAAAATTTTAAAAAATGAATAAATCTAAGAAATACCAATGTGGGCATCAGAGGCCGCTCTGTCAAAATCTGAATAGTCAACTACTTTGCCACGATGCCGGGTACCCCTTGGTTTTTTCCGAAAAATGGCTCCGAAATCACCCCAAATTTTTATTACATTTTCTGATACATATTGATGTACTTATGGTGTCTAGAAAGTTTGAGTCAATTCCGACTTCAATTTTTCGAGTTACGGCAATTTTAAGAAAATGCCGTAACCATTTATACCATTTATATTTATATCTAGTTTATACCAGCTGTTTGATGGCCGTTACAGTAAAGAATTTTTCAGTCAATTGAGTGAGGCTTTAGCTTCATTGTCTGAGAAGGATTTTGAAATTAAAACTGATGCTGATGCTGTATCTGGCGGTCAAGTCTCGTACCTCATTTATCAGCTGCTAGAGAATCCTTCAATCAGGAACAGAGTAAGAGAGAGGAGGACAGTAAATGTGTATTGATATTTTTATTAAAATTTTTATTTTATTTTTATTTTATTTTCTAGAGTGTTTGTGAGCCCCAGTTTGCCGATCCCCTACTCATCAACGATCCTAACAGCGTCTTGTCAAGAAACCTTGTTCAGTTAGCAATGGCAGAAGTTGAAGCCAGTGAAGAGGAAGACGAAGAGAGAGAAGGAGAGAGGAACATGGAAGCTCAAGAATCAAACATACAAGAAGAGATGGAAGTGACTACTGAAGGAGACGGTTTAAGAAAGAGCAGTTTGGAAAGAAGAGGATTAGCTCAAGAGCACCAGGGACATGCTAAACCCCACACTCCAGGTTCTGTGATGAAAGCCGGTATCGGTACTTTACTGAATATTGATGAGTCATCTCACCTGCAGCATGGAACACTGCGTATCAGACCCCCTATCAATATTGGGTGCTTGCTGGACCCCTTGGATGAAGAGGAAAAAGGAGAAAAACAAGTTTTGGGCATCGGTTTATCGGAAGAAGTTTCTCTCGGGTCTTTTGCTGCCTTTGTTTCTGCTCATCTTGGTTACTCTTCTGTTGCCATAGAAACAGCAAGACGGATTTATACTGTCATTGATGAGGCCGGTAACAAAGGGGTTGCCATGGAAATACTAAGGATGAGAATTACTGAGAAAGAGGAGGGAAGAGATTTTGGGAACATTCTTCAAGATCTGATCAACTTTGATCTGGTCAGTAGGTGCATATTAAGTCATGTACTGCTTTTAAATGTTTGGAGGATAAGTACTTGTACATGATGTACTAGACCTGGGATTAACCATACCAAAATAATGCACAACTTTGTTCTTTATGTAGAATAGTATGTATGATCATTGATATTAGCACTTTTATAAAAAGAGGTGTTAAGAAACAAAATTTCTTCACCAGTCGGAAATGTTTTCATCTCAATTCCTTATTTTTCAGATCTTTAGAGTTGGCACTGCATTCACTCTCTATGTATCCGCCAGTCATAAGAGCAGCTGGTATTTCAAACTGGATAATGAGGAGATACCGATTAGACCATGGATACAGAGAGAAGAACAGGAATCAAGTATTCTTCCTCAGTTTCAAGACGGAGTCCTTTCTTACATAATTACTCATTCTGGTGTTACCATGGCAAGTTTTCTAATTATTTGGTAGTCACTGAAATTATTTCTGTCTCAGGCGGCATTATTGGATCACTTTAAAGGTGTTCTTCAGAGAGTTAGTCTAGAGGACATATTAGAGGTGTTGTTTTTTTAGATTTTTAAAGTTGCTCAACAATCAGGTCAAAGTCCCTGGCACTATGGTATAGGGACTTTGGCCAATTTTTGCCAAAATTGAAAAGGAGAAAAATCTCCATTTTAATTTTTTTCCTGATGCATATACATGTTCTTATGATGTGTAAGAAAGTTTGAGCTGATTCCAATCAAAATTGGATTATTTACGAATTTTAAAGTTGTTGCTAAACCTGTACCATTTACTGTTACTTGTTTTTAGGATCTTTTAATTGGAAACTGCATCAAGAAATACACTTTAGTACAGACCACAACGACAAGCTCCTCTCCATTTTCAAAGCTTTCTTCATCAATTATTAGAAGTAAAATGGTGTTTAGTATATAATATTGATGTCAGAAATCCTACCATTAGGTTGTCATGATGATGATTCATCAGTTTCAATATGTTTTGAGGCTATTCTTTCAGCTGAAGTTTTATGGGCTAAGCAAAAATGAATCAAGCATATATAGATCTACATACATACAGTTATTTTATATTTATTCCTCTCATTTATATTATTGGGGCACATTATCACAATATTGTAGCATATGTGCAGTTGATTGTAGCATGATTTGCGGGGCTCACTCATTCAATTCAGAAAGGAATTGGGTGGGTTTGTTTACAATTACAACCTTCTCGACCTTTTTTTTTACAAAGACAGAGTTGAATTGGCAAAGCGTGTTGAAGATGTGTATCTACAACTGTAAAATCCTTCTAGCGCCACTGGCTATATCGGTTCTATTTGTTTCGATTGTTGTAAGAATGATGGTTACCTTAAAACCTGCTTTCGACGTCACTTTCAGTGTGCCAACACTTGTTTTGCCAGAGATCTCACCTAAATATGGTTACTGGGAGCCTGTCACACCATCCCAAGTTTGCTGCCTGTGCATTTGGCTCAGCATGACTTATCTGTCTTGCTCTCTAATATGGGAGATTACTAGGTTTGCTGGATTTTTCAGGATTATTTTTGCAGCTTTTCATGATTTTCGTAAGAACATTGCTCTACTCAGCCTCCATTCCTATGAGATCTGGATGTTTGCATTTATCTACAAGACCTACGTCACTGAGTTTGACTATATTTTTCAGATCATCATAATATTTCCATTGATCACTTTGCTCTTACTCACTATCTTTCAAATGACATGGCCTCAAGATGTAACACCTGATGATACAAAACGCCTTCAGGAACTTCAGTACTATGCTTCAACAAGCCTCCTCTACAGTGCTATAATGGCTTTTCATGTAGTCTGTATGGGTGTTACTAATTTCATACGTACAAAAGATGTAGTTTTGGGTGATGGAGACTTGACAGATATGCACATCTTTTTGCTAGGAGTAGCTGAGATATTATACCGGCTACATTTTATCTACCAAAACTACTGTCTCATTGATATGCATCGTAATCCTCCAATGCCACGTGGAGAAGGAGCAGTACATGATGGTAGAGATGGTCAACCTGTTGTGGCACGCATGCCAGCACCAATAGACTATGAGTTTACATACCAGGCTGCAATAATGATGGTTGGAGTTGGTATTTTCGATGCCATAGTGATTGGAAGATACTTTCAATGGTGACTCATCATGCATTTTGCATTTTTTGCTGTGTGTAGTTGTAGTTTAGTCTTAGGTAGTTACAAAAATTTTTATAAAAATAAATTCTAAAGCAGCAGTTAAGTAACAAATTATAAAATCTAATAAACTTATACTATTACTAGTTTAGACAGCAACAGTAAATCTCACACTTGCAATATAGATATCATGACGATGACCAGTGCTTGAACCTTTGAGCCATGCTGGATAATAACGAACCTCATATTCACCAGGTTTATCAGGGCCCTGTAACAGAAGACAAATAGACTGTATATACTTGCAAAGCTTTTACACAGTATAAGACTCTTACTGATGCAGAGTCCATAGATCTACATGCATAAAGGTATAGGTACAAGTCTTACCTTCAATTTTCCTTCACCCTCCAGTGACTTGTTCTTATTACTCAGTGAGCTTGACACATGTGATTTGCCATTGACTGGATAAATATAAATCTGATCAGACTTGCTACACCTGTAAACTTTCCAGCTAACATTCACGTCACCTTTTATGCCAATCTTAAAGAGTCAATTTAAAAACTGTTTCTTATAACTATAAAATTATACCTTGCTGTCTTTAACAGTGAGAATATTACTACCAGGAGAAGGAGGCCGTGGACACAAGAAGTAACTCGTTGTCTTTGAAGTTGGTGTTACAATGAGAACCTAAAGACACACAGTATGGAATGATATATCACTAAAATCCTTATACCTTTATTCCATAAGCTGTTCCAGTTTCCACATCAACAAGAGCATAAGGTGTAATACTTGATCCTTTTGATTCTTTCTTCCAGTCAGTTATCTCAACCTCTCCTTGGCCATTGCTCTTGCCTTTGTACCCAAACTTTTTGAGTGAATGCTCAATATAGAAATACTGCCCACCATTACCAAGGGGTGCTGGGCGGTAACAGATTTGCCCGTTACTATCCTAAAAATGGCCAAAATACAGTTTCTTTCTGCTATCATTAAGAATTAATCTATCCTTACCTTGTAAAATGCAAAATCACTCCTCTTGTTTGATGTAGTATCATCAGCAAAAGACCAGGAAAGCATGTCCTCTGCAGATTTTCCACACCAGCCATTAATCCTTGTCTCCCTTGTAGCTAGATCAAGAGGAGAATTCCCCTATTATATAAACATCAAATGCTTTAGAAGATTGCCAATCTGTGTGTGCATACTTGTTCAAACTGTAGTGATGCACTATCACCCTCCTGATCAGTGAAAGTAAACTTGAGGTGCAAAGGTTGAGGTAAAGAAGTATCAGAGCGTCGACCTTCATAATTGCTTTCCGGTGGAGTCCCTACGTTAGCATAAAAAATAAACAATAGTAAGATAAAAGACACCTGTAGCACTAGTTTACTAATCAGCATTGTACCTTCAATTTCAATGACCAGTCGTACTAGCAATGACCCTGTTGTGCCTGCATTGAGCCAGAAGTTGCTTGTATCAAACCACTCATAGTTCCCACGGAAAAACTCTTTCCCAACAAGCACTTCT